TCAAGATTGGGAACAAGTTTTGAGTCTAACCAAAGGGAGAGTTACAAGGCAACTCCATCTAGGCCAGGTTGGACGGATCCAATCCCACCAGAGATGGAAGACCCATCGGGGGCACGTTTGCCCACAGTGCCTCACGTCAGATCGATTCTAGATTTGAACACTGTCTCACATGACACTACGATGTATGCATCAATGTTAGTGCCTTTCAATAGGTCTCTTGAGACGTTTATTACTAATTTCTCGAATCCTACAGAGAGAGGAGAAAAGTCACGAAGAACACTCAAGAAACTGAAGTCGTAAAAAGATGAGTTAGATGGCTGTGTTGATACTTGAATAGAGGTGATAAAGTTGCACTTAGAGGAAGAAAACCTCGCAATTACGAGTAATCTAAGTAGCGCATTTACGAGTAATCTAAAAGGCACGGCCCTGAGTTGTGTTATGGCGAAAAGGACAAATGAACGTGACAGTGCTAGTAAGATCTTCGACATCTTGCTGAATCGCTTAGTCTCGGTTGTGCAGGGGCATCAGGCGATGATGATGTTTGAAAAGGGGCACCAAAGAGACGATGAGACTATTGACAAGTTTTTGCATGACTCGAGCTACTGAGAAGGCGGAGCAACCCTGATGAGAAAACCCCAGAAACAAACGTAGCAATAGCCTCGAAGTTCATGGATGGGGTAAAGAATGACGAACTGAAAAACATTTTGGCCGCGCATTTTACCTTGTCAGCGGATGCCCGATGGTTTGCGCATGAAGTCGCGTGAAAATTGGTTCATGAAGTCAAGGGCCAAGAATCGCTACAGCAGTTACGGCAATTATGATGGAATGAATACCGGCACAGGTTCCGGCTCTAATAAAAATCGTGGTGACATGGACAAAAGGAGGTCATGTGCTTATTGTGGTTAACTGTACCATCTTGTGTCGGCCTGTTCCACTTATAAACAAAGCATGAAGGCAATCAGTTACTTCCTTGACGACCTAGACGCAACGAATGAGGACCACGAGGCATATGTGAGAGGGCTTATAATGAAATATGGACCGAGATGTTTCTTGTGCAATCTAGAAGGGCATTTTAAATCGACTGCACTCAATTTTGGGATGCGGTAGCAGCGAAACGCCCTCGACACGAGAAGGTGGTTTTCGGAGTAAAGGCCAGTCGAGCACGCCTCTTTTCTCTTAGCTTTTGGTCAAAACGTTTAATAATCCCTGATATGACAAACAAAATAACTTGACCTTGCTTGATGAAGCCAAAAACTTACAGTTAATGAGATATTAGATGATGTAACCTGGCCTTGATGAGTCATATTACATATAATGAGGTAACAGTTGAACAAGGTATGTCTTCCAATTTTCCAGGTACATTATTATTGAGAAAATAGATGACGTAACACGACTTCGATTAATTAAACTACATATGTTGAGAAAAACTTGAACATTTCAACTTTTTAGACCTAGCTTTTGATGCTCAGCAATTTTCATGCTCATTAGTATGGCTGACAAAATAACAGTTATTGAGATGTTAGTTGATGCAATTTGTCTTTAATTGGTCATACTACAACAGATAAGCCAAAACTCGAAGAGTTCAACTTTTTTTAAATAAACTTTTCGATGATGAGCAGTTTTTGTGTTCAAGTCCGTGTTTAAAATATCAATAGTTATTGAGAACCAAGAAGATGTAACATGACTCTGATGATTTCAGCTGCGTATAAAAAGGCAAAACTTGAACAACGCAAAAAATATTAGACATATTTTTTGATGCTGAGCAACGTTTATGCTCAAAACTATATTCAAAAAATTAACAGTTAATGATGTATAATTTGGTGTATTATAATTTTGATAAGTCATAGTTCAAATGATGAGGCAAAACTCGAACATTGTAGATTTTTCAAACATAAATTATGATGCAGAGAAAGTTGTGTGATTGAGACGGTGTTCAAAAATCAATAGTTTTTGAGACATAAGATAATCTAAACTGACTCTGATGATTCATACTAAATTTGATGAGGCAAAACTTGAATAATATATAATTTTTGAGGCCGAGCGTCTTTCATGTTCATAGGTATGGTCAAAACTGAACAATTAATGATATGTTAAAGGGTGTATTATGACCTTGAAGAGTTATACTTCAAGTGATGAGACAAAATTGTAAAAATTGATTTTCCTCATTCCTCATTTTTTATGCTGAGCAAATTTTAAGTTGTTGTCTTCTGTCAAAAATTTGAAATTTGAAAAGTTATTTTTGCTCAAACTCTAAAGCTATGCAGTTCAGACTACATTTTCTTTCTACAGCCTAATTTTCATGCGGTTTTTTAAATTTTTTCTAGGGTTGTTCTTATGAAACACTCAGACTTTTAAGCTAGTGAGTGCTTAATGCCCATGCATATTAATGAAGTTTAGCTCAGCACAAACTTGTATATTAACTTACCTTTTAAATTATCCAACATCCACAGATGAAGTTTTAAATTTTGAACGCTATGAAGTTACTTTTCGATTAACTATCTTAAAGTTCAGTGCTATTTATATAGGTTTTTGTGCATGAAAGTTCTCGAATGATGTAGAACATTTAATGGTCATTTTGGAACATTCTAGAACATTCAAGAAATGTTTTGCTCCGGCTTTTTCTGCGCCCTTCTCAACCCACCCAGATTGTGAGCTGCCTAAACTACTCTTAAATGGCAATAACAACATCGCGCGTTTTTCAATGAAAAAACTTTTATTTTTTGTTCAATAGAGTTATTACGTTTGTTTTAAGTTTTTTTTCACAAACTTTTTGATGAAGTCGGCCTTGATGCGGTGTTTCTCATGTTGCTCAATTTTTTGAGTGCTGAAATGCTATTGAACAAGTTTTTTGACGTCCAATCAAATAAATTTTAGTCAATCAATTTTAATGACTGAAAAGTAGAATGTCAATTATTTGGTAGCTAATACACAGTGCTGATTTTTTTTATCCGGACGAAATTAACTTTCTGAAACTGGGCTGAGTTTAGTTGGAAAGTGATGACGATGAAACTTGCTACACATAATGAGTTAAAAGAGAAAACTCTCCCTCAAAGCCACAAAAATCTGGGCTTGAGAAATATAACATGCTCAACCTCGGACCGCACAAAAAATGTTTGTTTACAAGTACAATCAAGGAAAAATGTGACAAAAAATTAGCCAGTCTTAATTGGGGCTGCACAAAGAAGACATGATCGATCGCCTGAAAGGCCGTCACTCGTAGTGCTATGAACTACGCGGCACCAATATGGTCAGCCAGCCTAACTACTGACTACTAACTGCTAGTAATTGGAAAAAACTACAAAGCAAACAAAATGACGCATTGAGAATTGTCACCGGCTGTGTAAGATTGACAAAGATAGACAGCTGCACCTTGAAACAGAGGTTTTCCGGTTGCGTTAGCTCAACCAAATTCACTCAAAACAGTTCTCACCTGGCAACCACCTTCCCAGTGGCGCGAATCATGAAACAGCAGTGAGTTGTAGTACGCGATCGCTCAAGCCAGCACTGCAATCATTGTTTCATCGGGAAATAGCTCCCTTCTCCCAATTACAGCGAGAATGATTTCGGAACACACACCCAAAACTTCTGTTAACGAGTAAACTCAAGGAAAAAAGCTGAAAAAATTAGGCAGTATTAAATGGGTCTGAACAAAGGAGACTTTATTGCTAACCTGCAAAGCCGTCACTCAGAGTGTTATGAACTACGCGGAACCAATAAATACACATTACAAAAAGCCATAAAATCTTCACACTAAAACAGTTGAAGACTACACCAAAAACCATCTCTACAAAATACTCAACTCAAATCTACAAGAAAAAATGATAGTGAAAATAGATTTGATCGCAACGCCAGGTGCAATTTTGTTCAGCTCCGATCAGAATACTCACAATAATTTGTAGTCAAAGCCATCATGATGTTAGTAATCTGTTTAACTTTCGAGGCAGTCCGACAGATTTAGATGACCACAGTCTGTGGAGTGAATCTTACCGTGTACTTGAGTTTTTTTTTTGCTCACATAGCACGCTGCAGCGGGAGAGCTAAGCTTACTTTGAGAAACAATTAGCATGCCGGAGGATTCCGACTTCAGAACAAGACAATAAAACGAGATACCTATTTATAGACGAATTCCAGTGTCAATACGACGAGACGAAGCAACCACAATCAAACAGTCAAACAAACTTTCATCATCCTTCCGGAGATGAATGGTTAAAAAAACAAACAAAACTTGCTACCGATGAAGGAGACGAGGCCACAGCAGCAAAAACAACGAAACTTGCTCAAAAATTAAACAGAATTGTAATGATACATTTTATTTTGCAAGATTCAGGCCTACAACTTCATCCCAAAACTGTTTTAACTTCATCTCAAAGAGCTTCTTTTGTAACCTAATAAAATTTAACCAATTATATCTTAGCTTTTTTCCAGCACACTAAATTTTAAGAAGGGTATGATCTCCACAAAATGGTAGATCTAAATTTATTTTTTGTTTGATAAAAAAGTCATTTCCCTATAAAAAACATTATTTATCATTCAAAAAACAATATTTAATAGTTTGCATTGTTTATTTTTGAGATTAGACCTTAGTTAAATTTTGTTGGACCATAAAGGAGGCTCACTATATAATAACTGTGTCAGCAATTGAACCAGTAGTTTTGGCGTGATTTTTGATGACTGAAAAAAAAAGCCAAAAACAATCGTTTTTTGAGGAAGATTTTAGACCAGAATCTTCCAAAAAACATAAATTGCTTCATATTGATTCTGCTAAAAGTCTACACAAGTTTGTGTAGAATCATTTTTCACTTTAAATCAGGCTAATTTAAGAACACGGCGTTATAAATTTCAAGCTTTCTGCGTTTTGTCAGAATTATTTGAATCACCATTGTAGAAACTGGAAAAACACGTAGCGTCTTACCTTGCTTCTTTTGTTAACTCAATTTGTTTTCTCTCCCCCAAAAAATGGTAATTGCAAGATCGAATTTACTTTGTACCATTTGTTTTTCAGTCAGAGAGAGATGCAACTGAAGCTGGAACAGTCAAAAGTTCGAGAAAGGGAGCAAAGGGAGCAAAACCGTCGCTATGAACAGCAAGTTGACCAACTGTTAGCATCAAACAATTTGCGGAATTTTTGAGTAACTAAAGCACGTAAACATAAACTGCCAATCCCACTGGAACAATTTTTCTAGAATTTTTGTTTGAACATTCTGATCGTTTCAAGACAATATCTGATATAAACTGAGGGCGCAGATCAACTTTCTAGTCAATGCAACATTTTCTAGTTCCATTAAACCATGGAATCAAAGCTGAATTATTGCTTCAAACAAATTATCATGTTTTTTCAGATTTTCCCAAATACCTTTTTTGAGCTCTTTTCCACTCCCTCTTTGCATATTCTCTCTCTCGCTGTTTTTGTTACATGCTTTTAGTAGTCAAAAAATAATTTTATATTGAGCATATGCGTTCACATTGTTAATTGGTTAATCATACAAAGTTTCATAACTTTTTATAACATCTTTAAAATAATTGGCTAAATGGAAATTCTTTTTTGTGGAGAGGTGAGTGGAGAAGAGCCTTATTTCAAAATTGTGAATCATGAATCTGTCCGGCAAAAAAGTTTGCGACAGGTCTCGAGAAAAAACGAAAAACTGATACTGATATAGAGTTAAGATAAAATAAAAAACATCTGCGCAGAAAAGGTCCATTTTAGGATAAATATTTCCAAAAACTAAGTTAGTAGATGTTAGAGGTGATCATAGGGGGATTGGGGGAGGGGCGGCTTGGAGTACCCCATGTTTTAAGATACGTTATAGGTTTCCGGACATCTGTACTATGTATTAAAATGAGGTATAGGTATAAAGACAGTGAAAATAAATCGTAAGTTTTCAGAAAATGTTTCAAAAAGTAGCATTTTTGTGTTTTTTGTATAGTCATCTTTATTTTTTTTTTAAAAATAGTTGTTGTTCATCTAGTTGGTAAATATGAACTTTGTATTACGTATATTTTGTCAATTACTTGCAATTACGTATAAAAACTGCATTTGTACATGAAATTAGGTATAAAAAGCAATACCTGCACACCATGAAACTTAACCACGTTTCTCTGATAGAAAATAAAATGTAATATGAATTGCATAAAACCATACAAATAATCAGTTTTTTGTATTTTTCGCGGAACCATTCGCCGACTTTTTATATTGTTTTTTGTTTAAAAGAATTGAAATGATGTATTTCTTCCTAAAAATTCAGCAAAGTACTGTTACTTGTACAATCGAGCGATCATGATGCAGAGTTCTCTTGAGCAAAATTAATTAGGGAAATGTATCATAAGGATACAATCCCATATGCTTGAACCTGACTTCTTCGGATAATATGCACACGCGAAAAATTGTTCATCTTTAAAACTGTCAGAAAGTTTATATCCAACAGCTAAATAAATGATCATTAAATTTTTAAAATTAGAACAAAAAATCAGGTAAAAGATTTAGATGCATTCAGGTACTGAATTGTCAAAAACCCATTCATACGTCCTACTTACTGACCAATGGTTGTTGAACACTACGTTGCAGTCTAGGTTGAGAAATTTGTTCAGTTTTTCAACTATGCAGTTTTCGTTGTCTACTTTTCCTGAAGGTTTAGTTTGTACTGAAAAAAACAAACGGATACTTCAAGTAAAAATAACAACGAAACAATCTTTTTCCATAATAAACATTATTGTGAATTATAATGGCCAAAATGAAACCTGACTGTTTGCAGTTAGACTGCTTTTCAATGGAATAGAACAAATTTGATCTGAAACACTGATTGATTGCAAGTATTTCATATGATCAATTTAGACCTAGAAAATCAGTTTAAACCTAGAAAGAGTAAAAGCAATCAGTTTTAGACTAAGCAATTACATAAAACCTATTCCGTCAAAAACAGTTAGCTTAGCAAACAGACAGCATACTATCTCCGAATTTACTCTTTGAGATAGCAATTCATTTCATCTCATCATTAAACTGCAGAAACATATTTTTCCAATCCGAGAATTAAGAGGAAACACTGACCTTTTCTTGTTAAAGACAACCCTTTAAATTAGAACTTTTATGATTCAAAAACCATTATACAGGGTGGTCTTCTTGAGATGTCTACTATGAAAAACGTCAAATGATGTTTAGAAACGACCGGCTGTCCGACGTAGAACGACAAAAGGCAACGATGGTCGAATGCGCCACAGAGAGGTAACCTAAAACACATTAAATGAAACAGAAAATGATAGGGTTTTTAATGCAGATGAAAAACTACAAATTGCCACAACAGTTGATTAGGGGTGTTCAAAGGTTTTAGATTTAATGCTTTGATTTCGCAGAAACACGATTGTTATTTTGCTCAATCGCAATTGTGGTTTCTGAAGAAGCAGTAAATAAATGAAACTCAAATGGCATTAACAAAACTCAATTGTTGAGTTTCTTTTTTATCTCTAATTTTAGGTCAGCAGTTTTATGGTTTGTGAGTTTTTTGATGTTTTTAAACATGGCCTTTATCTAAGATTGATCATCATGTTAAAATTTTTGTAACAAGATTTTAAACAAAACTTATACTCAACCAAATTTTAGGCCACAGACCAGCACCACAGGCGAGGTTTTCGTAAAAGGTTAGTTTCACCCGTAAAGCGGCAAAAGCTCAATCAGAACTTATCAGGAATGTTCATCACTAATATATGTTACACCAATCTTCAGGTGAGAGTAAATTATGACCTAAACTGGTTTTTCTGCTCAATTTCAAAAATTGCATCTGATTTTTATATTCAGCAGCAATTAAGTAAGTAATGACCCTAATTGGATAGATTTGTTTTGCAAAAATTGTTTGCTTTAAAATTTTTTGCTCGAGATTTAATTGTTGAACTTTATCAACTCTTTAAAATATGTTTGCAATGCAGTTACCTCTGCAAAAGTGAACCTTCACTGGCCGCAAGTGTTTGAGTTTTAGTCCCAATTTTTGATCAATTTCAAACTAAAATTAAACCAAACTGCGGCAAATAATATATTGGAAAAAATGTATAAGATAACGAAAAAAATTTGATTGTTCTGACATGCGCGAGG